AGCGCAGGACACAGTGCGTACTGAGGCTCCGCTCCTGCTGCTGAGGTCGAGGACCAGAGCTGTAAAGGGGAACGCTCATCCTGGGCTCACCTCAGAGGGTCTGTGCTGCGTGGAAGTTACACAGCGCATCCAGATCTCCCATTCAGAAAAGACTGCAGCTGTGTGTGCTGCAAGGAAATCCACAGCATCACTTTCCTGTGTCATAGCCCTACAGCAACGCAGTGGGGTTTGTTTGTATGAGGAGAAACTCCTCTAAAACTGCTGACGTTTCTTCTTCTATGCTCTCCCTTATGAATGATGAAGATAATTAATTTTTAAGGTAGCACTGGTTGATGTCCCAATGAACAACGCTGCAAATCCCACAAAACACTGTTCTATCTATGTTTCCTAAGTAACACTGGAACATGCTATGAGGAAGTGAAGTAACACTGATCTCCTCCACAATACGCCAAATAAGCAGATTTGAGTTTGCTTAGAAAGTGCTGATGAGTAAGAACTGCATAACTGAAAACAAATTTGAGCTCACACTCACCCAGTGACAACCTAAAGTTATTAAGAGACAAAAAGGGAAGAACAGACTTGTTAATTTTTTACCATGTTAGGACAAGCACACTTTTTCCTCTGTTTCACACAATAACGTAACTCTACAGACAGAGACTATGACCACATTCAAACACCTCTACAAAAAGACTTCTTGCATTTTCGGCCCTGCAAACTGTTTCAAAACGGGAAAGAATTCCATTTCTAACTCAACAAGACCTTATTTTTCTCAGCAGAAACCTGGAACCAATCTCCTATCCTCAGGCTTGCAGAATAAAAGATCATCCAGCTGACCTGTATGTGGTTTCTGTCGGAAAAAGAGTTACTCTGCAAATCTGATTTCTGTCTAATATCTATTTGCACATTAGATTGCACATTTAGAACATTCAGACATTTCCATATAATACAGCAGCGATATCACAAACATCTGAATTCCTCTTAAAATAACGTAGAGATGTCAGTGTTGAGTAACAGATGTGCTCTCGTGTGCAAAGAGGTAAAAACGCATTCTCGAACCTCAGATTCTCCAGTTCCTGAACCGCAATCTCCAAGAGATTAAACCTCCGGAGTCCATCTCTGCATGACACATTTATCTAAAGTGGCTGCACACATATAATGATGGCTTTTGATTAGTGATCATGGTCATTGTGAGTTTGTTTAAATACTGCAGCCAAATGCTTATAAACTAATCCCAGAACATTTTGAAATGCTTCAAAGCTTTTAGCGGGGGAACCTCTTGCACAGGCTCTGTAGATGGAGCTGACCACAGTTCACTGGAACCAGCCAGCTCACATAAGTAAGATGAAAGCAGACATTTCCTGAAAATATCTTGAAAGCTTTCCATTAGACTGTACCAGGGGTATACACTAAAACCAGCAAGTGCCCGTGCTTGTACAGCAACCAATCTTCCCACTGCTGGCTCCATTCTTTCTTGAACTACTGGATTTGTATCTCTGCATGTGCTTCATTTGATATCTTGCAAAGTTCTCTGGGAGAAAAAAAGATGCAACTGCTGCATTCTTGTTTCCTGTACCTTATAAAGCAGCTATTACTATAACCAAAAAAATCTGCTTAACTTACTGAACAATGCAACAGGAAGACACAGAAATCTCCCACTGCCAAAATTATTACAAATGACAAATAAATAAGAAATCTGATCGGTTTGAAAAGTCACCTGGAATGCAATTATTTGAAGATAATTCTCTGGCTGTCAAAGTGTACTCTCAGGTCGATACAGCACTGCTGAATGTGCTGGTCATGAAGACAGGAGTGCCTCAGGCTAGATTTTCAATAAAGGCTGAGACTGGCTGCTCACATTTATACGATAATCTGATTGAATAAATCCAGCCCTTCACTAGGAACAGGAAATGCTTCACTGCTGTGACCTCCAACAGTTTATACTTTGAGAAAGGACAGTCACACTGTCTACCTTCAGGCACTTTACGTCAGAGCAATGGATCAGAGGCCCAGGTTTCTTTAACAGTCAGTAGACTGAAGGGTACATAAGTACTTTTAATAGTTTATTGAGGACCAGCAGACTATAAAGGGAGCCTTGGTCTAATTTAAGCATCAAAATCAGGTGCTACAACTATCCATGCTGTATCCTACAAAGACTTAATCACTCCAATGAAGAGAGGACAGCATTCTTATAATAGAATAGAGAGTATTAAGCAGTGATGACACCTGAAATTCAATATAGCAGTACTGGTAATACTTATTCTGCCCAGTAATGCATCACAAAAAGGGTTGGGGCACTCTGAAAGTGCACAGTGAAGTTAAGTACACTGTTTGAGTCCTCAGCACACGCTAGCCGAATATGAGAAGGAAGTGGTGAGCCACAGTATCGATGCACAAAATGGGGCGCAAGCAAAGTCCAACAGTTGCTACTTTAAACAAAACAACTCTGCCCCCTTCCAAGCAACCCAAAAAGTACTTGAGGTCTTAACAGTTTCTTCTGAGGCATACCCTGAAATCCCATGCTCGTTCTGCCCTCTGTAGTCCCTGTTCTTATACCTCCTGCACCTCGGGGTACCTGTAATACGGCCTTTCCTCCTCCTGGAAAGAAGAAGTATTGCTCTCCTCCACGGTGTGGCTTATGCTGCTTCAGTGTTAGGAGTGAAATGGCCATCCTGTGCCGGGGACACCGTCAAGACCTGCGAGTGCAGACACTGAAAATGTTCTCCTTTTTCAGTGACAGAAGCTGACAAAGAACCACTCCGACTCAGACCCCTCACAACTCCGCGATCTCAGTTACATTACATGTGCTGCAACATGCATCATCTCTCAGTATAGCTCAGGGGAAGCCACAGAAGACTTTATATAGAATTAATTCTTTCTATGAGCAATTTCAGTAAGATGTGACTGATTTCTTGGCAGACTGCAGGAGGTGAGAAAGGGCCACAGTCTGAGGACCTGTCTGCAAGGGGTTGCCCAGGTCCTCAGTAGCTTTTCCCCGCACACTTCTGGCTTCCACAAAATATTCAAGTTTGAATAGAATTCCCAAATAACTGAATGTTCTGGTTTAACCTTTCCGGAAATGATGCAACACTTCATCATCTTCTTAGAGCAATGAATCTTAACTCTCTCTCTTAACACCCCCTCTACATTCTTTCACATCCCCTCCTAAAAGAGGGCTGAGAGAAGCTGGTCAAAATCTGAAGATCATGAGCTTGCAAGAACCTTATGAGAAGCTGAAGTCAACAGGACTTCTATTCACAGTTTCACTAGAATAATATTAGAAATAAAATCTACTCTGTTTTATGAACAAATAGAACTCATTTGTTTAGGGGTGGACCCATAGAAAGCCAAAGTACAAAGAGGCTTGGTTCTCTGCTTCTACTGATTGCTACCAGGACTGCCTACTACTTGTGTAACATTTTAAAGCAACTGTAAAACTGCCATTAGGTTTGTAAACATTTCGAGCTCATCATACGCGGAGAGACCAGCGACGTATTTTAAGTTCTGAACAAGAGTCACCATTCCCTTAAATGTACAGAAACTACTTGAAAAATTCATAAGATCTGTTTCACAAATAACCAATTCAACCATAGGAATATATAGTAAAAAATGACAAAAGATTTGTTCTTATAGTCGATAAAAAATTCATGCCAAGGCATTCAAGTAAAGTTACTTTCTGTGTTCTGATTTAATGAATCATTTGAGCGGTATCTGGCTGGGTGACACAGATGTAAGGCTCGCTGAAGCCTACGCTAATGCCTGCTGGTACAGCCTTCCCTGGGACAGCGGAGCCAGAACAATGTGTCAGACTGCAGCAATATCAAAGGGAGTAAGTGCAGAACTGGGGATGCTACGGGGTTGGCCCACAACACTTCCTGACCTGTGAATGTCTGCGAGTACTTCTCAGTCCTACAGGCTCCAATGACCCAGGAAGCTCAACAGCAGCAGCAGCAGCGTGGTAAGAAACAGTCTCTGGAACAAGATTTTTGCAATCTTGTAATTCAAGCTGAAAGACGTACAAAGATTGCTCGATGGTTTAACCCTGCGGAAAGGCAGGGCCCGACACTGTGTGAAACCACCAGTGATTTCTTAAAAGGTGAATTAATGTTAAATGTTTCATAGGAATTTGGGAGAGAACCGTCTGTTTTACACGCTGCAAAGTTGGTATCTTTGGCTTCAGAAATGTACATGAATTTGGAAAAGATAAATTAAGGAAGTGACTTGATGCATAAGACGATTACAGGCGATGCCTCCGTGTAGAAGTTCACTTGAAAGACACTATAATAATTTCCCATTAGGAAGACACTGTAATGAAATCAAGCTTCCCATTAGGAAAACCCTTGGAAAGAATTTAATCCTACAGTAAGTAGAACAAAGCTAAGGAGGACTGCAGGCACTGCAGTATCATAATCTTAAACAGTAAAGCTAACCCTCATGAAAATAAAATACCGGGTCCCAGTATTCCTTTCAGGAACTTGGGAGCTGCTAAAAACGCTTTCCCTTCTCAAAGCAGTTTGCTAGAATACTCAGACAAACATATTTAGAAGCACGCTGTGTCTTTATGGAAATAATTGAATAATGAAAGTGAAATCTTTTATGAAATTAGAAAATGAAGGAACGAGAAGCAAAATGAGAAATGACAAGTGTAACAGCTACGCCAAGCCCGAGCAACACAACACACGTCATTCTGTCCTGCTGTCACGGGAAGGACGTCAGCAGCAGGTGAAGAGAGTGAAGAACACTCCTCCTTCCCCCCCAGCCCTCTTAAAAACCCCCTAAATCTTACCTTTTCTTTTTTTAACAGAACATTAAGTTTGCCCATGGTTGCTGCAAGTGAGACAACCATGTTTTGCCAAAAGAATTTAGTTCATTTGCATGAAGAACTAATCCTGTTGATTCCCCCATTAATTTAAAGAAATCTTTCCCTTCTTTTAGCTGAAAATTAAATCTTAACAGCCTGGTTAAGACAGTTGCGTATGAGAATATTTGACATTAGAAGGTACTTACACAGATAACAAAACAATGGCAATTAGAGTCCACTCAGGCATTTTGTGAATGATATTTCTGTTTGTTAACCTGAAAAAGAATGAAAAACAAAATCAGAACATTTCAGAGTGAAAGTAAAAATATTTTAACCACTAAATTTTTATTTAAGTCTACATTTAAAAGACTTAATACACTGAGTTAAAACGTAGCAATTCCAGCTGTATCTGAGCAATTCACCAACTTCCAGGCTTCTCTCATCCTGTAACAGAGGAACTGCAGAATTCCCAATCGGACTCTTTTTTTCTATATGAAAGTGGGATGGGGAAGACTAAACAGAACCTGATTCTCTGAATTAGCCTGCAAATAGTCCTGGCTGCTGTGAGGGTTTGGCTCTCCCTCGTACCTGCTGGGAAACTCTCAGGAGCTGCACATGCGTTTCTGAACGGACGGCCCTTCCTGCACTTCGCTTCCCCCCTGTTGGCTTCAGATCCAGATTTGCTGTAAAAGCTAATGTTGCAGAAACAAACCCCATTTTATAAGATACTGGAGGCAATCCTCTGATGAGTCTTGTTTTTAAAATGGAGCCCAGAATTCTAACTTATGCAATGGGAGCCAATGCAGATGTAAGAGCAAAAAAACCTGCAAGGCAGAAAAGGACCTGGGGTGTTGGTGGCAGCAATGCCCATGAGCCAGCAATGTGCCCTTGAGCCAAGAAGGCCAACGCCATCCTGGGCTGGATGAGAAGGGGTGGTTGTAGGGCAGAGAGGTTCTCCTGCCCCTCTGCTCTGCCCTGCTCACACCACAGCTGCAATCTTGTGGCCAGTGCTGGGCCCTCAGCTCCACAAGGACAGGAACTGCTTGAAAGAGTCCAGCAGGGCCACAGAGATGAGATGCTGCAGGGAGTGGAGCATCTCCTGCTGAGGAGCGGCTGAGGGAGCTGGGGCTCTGGAGCTTGGAGCAGAGGAGACTGAGGGGTGCCCTCATTCCTGGGGATCCATTGGGAAAGGGCAGTGTCAGGAGGAAGGAGCCAGGCTCTGCTCTGGGATGGCCAATGCCAGGACAAGGGGCAATGGTCCCAAGCTGGAGCACAGGAGGTTCAAGCTGAAGATGAGGCCAAACTTTGTGAGTGTGAGGGTTATGGAGCATGGCCCAGGCTGCCCAGAGAGGTTGTGGAGTCTCCTTGTGTGGAGACACCCAAAGCCCTGGCCGTGTTCCTGTGTGACTGCTCTGGTGATCCTGCTCTGGCAGGGGTTGCACTGGGGGAGCTTTCCAGGTCCCTTCCAACTCCTCACGTTCTGGGATTCTGTGAAAATGAGGTGAGAATCAAGAACCAAAGAGGTGCTCAGCAAAAGTGCTGCTGCATTTGACACGTGCTGACCGGTTTGGTTGACCTTCAGAATATGACAGATCTGCTTTATGGTAAAAGTTCATCTGACTTCAAACACTTCACGTGTGAATTGCTAGGGCAGAATTTAGGCAAGACCCACAGCGTTCAAGACAAGCACTTTCATGGAAAAGGCACAGCTGAAAATGAAGTTGTGGTTATGTGGGCACCCAAAAGGGCTCACAGAATTAATTTTGTTCAGATAGAAATACTGAGGGGCGAGTGCCTCCCAACGTTCGCTTCCTTATTGCTCTCAGCTTCCCTTCTACGCAGCCTTGGATGAAATCAGATCCAGAACGAAGCTACCCTGTCATTCGTGTCCACTTCCACAGGCCCTGGTGAAGATGAGAGGTTGCTTAAAATGAAGTACCTGGCAACAAATTAAAATACAGGGATTTCTTACTCAGTAAGTTTTTTCCTAAATTTTTAATTTCTTCAGGCAAATATATAGCTACCCAGAAAAGTATTAAAAAGTGGAAAAAGTGTTTGTACTTGCCACTCTTAAAATTCACATTCTGTTAACTAATTCCCCAAAATGGTCATTAAAAATGCAGTCATGAATAAAATGTTTCACAGGATCACTCTGCATTTCCCTATTTCAGAAAGATATTAAAAATCAATAAAATTATTTTTTTAATGTAGGGATAGTAACGATTAAAGCAATATTATCCTTTTTTTCTCCTCAGCTCTCCACGTCTTCCAATCAAAATAAGATTCTGAAGCACTGATCACTCAGAGAATGTCTCAAGAGCCTGAGCTGTGTTAAATAACCAAAGGCAAAGCAATGTTTTGGACTACATGGACAGGAATTGTCACATCAAACCAGAACCAATAGTCCCAGCAAATAGAGATTATTTTTGTTATTAAAAGACTCACATTTCCCCAATTACCATTTGAAACAGCTAATGGCAACAAAGCCTGTCCCTGGTAAATGGTTATAGTTTTTCTGGCTATCAAACAAGAGACAAAACAAAGGCTCAATGCTGATGACAGCGATAAACAGCGCCAAGAAACGCCTGACGGAATCATCCTGACAAGCAGCTCATATGTAACATTCCAGTTAATCTGCTCTGATGAGCCACGATGGAAGAGACAGCTCCGAGCCACCCGGGAAAACTCCATCAAATAGAGAAAGCCGCTTTATTTCAATGCTTTACAAGGAGTCATTATTGATCAGAGCGCAGGAAGGTGTCATTCTTGTACCCAAACTGAGAGAGGCAGTTATTTGTGTCAATTAACTCTTATGCAATGTTAGTATTGATTGGCAAGGTCTGAACACTGGTCATTGCCATCAATATGCTATTTATGAAGGAGGTGGTCAAAAGACACAGCTAAGCAGTATGGATCTGCTGCCGTACGACCGTCACTGGACCGGATGAGCAGCCAAGTCAGGCTTCCCCAGTGAGTAACCTCTCAGTACAACACCTGGCCTAAAGCACTTGTGCAGCTGGAAAAAAGACATTTCAGGCAGATCCGACTAAAGCCAGCAACCTACAGGTGTGAGGCCTTAAATAATAAGGAGCAATGGAAGGGCAGTCACTTTCAAAAACAAGCTGTGTCTCAACACCCAGGCCTCTGAAGAGCAAAGCTTTCAGAAAACAGGCAAGTGCAAGTCCTCTGTAAAAATGGTTCATTAATTCTTTGTCTTGCCTCTAGCCAAAACTGTTACTTCAGAACAACCCACGGAAGAGAGGTCACTCGATTTCTGTCATAAACACAACGTGGAAATGGTAAAACTCTACAAAACTTTGTGTACATGCTTTGAGTTTTGCAGTGAAATATTTTCTGTTAAGGAGTTTGGCTAAGTTCTCTCTCCCCTACCCAAAGAAAGAAAACGATACACAACTTTTCAAAACAGGGTGTCTCCACTTTCTTCACCTCTGTAGAGCAGGACAGGTAAGCCAGGAAGGTTGGGTGATCCCAAATAGCTGTGTGGGTTGCTTAGTTGCTAGCTGGAGTTACTGGTACTAAATCTGCAGCGAGTTATTGGTACCAGATGCACATTTGGTGAAAAAAACATCTCATACAATCATAGAATGTACTGGGTTGGAAGGGACATTTAAAGCCCATCCAGTCCAACCCTGCAGTGAGCAGGGATGATGTTACCACATCAGGTTGCTCACAGCCCCATCAACAGCCCCATGCTTGCTGTCTTTCAGTTTTACCCAGTATGTCCGTGCTCTTACACTTGGAGAAAAAGAAATAAATTTGCCCCAAATGGAGAAGATTTTCTTTCTTTATCTTTCTTTCCTTCTGTCTTTAATTCATTTTACAATTATCTTTGTTGCAAAGCGAAGTCATCAGCCTTTTTGTTCACACCCCCAAACTCCCAGGTGGAGTCACTCGTAACTCCAGTTCCAGAACCTGACCTGTTAGTCTGGCCATTTGCCTGTTCCGCAAGGCAGCAAGCTGACTTTGTGGGATCAGGAACTCAGCTGTGATTTTAGGACACCTCAGCTATCTATAATTTTTCCAAAACTCGCACTAAGGTGAGTGGAGTTTAACTAACCCAGGGCAGCACAGGCAAATACTGCTGAATAGGCTGTTTTTCTTTAGGCTTCAACTGGAGCAGTTTAACCATAAAATACAGCTCCTCTACCCCATGAAAGAGAGCAAAGCATTTATATATGGTAGTATAATTTAGTTTGATGACAACCAGCAAAAATGGGCCACCATTACAACTTTTTGCTCTCTTCAAGGGGAGCCCATTTACCTGAGTTCAGGTACTTTCATATTTCTATGCAGAACCTTGTCTAGGACAAAGTCTTGCTGACTGACTCCAAACCCAGAACCTAAAACTGCACTTAACAAGAGTAATAGGTAAAAGCCTATTAGTTTGTGAACACACGAGATAACATACACTCATGATCCATATTTAAAAGCTAAAAGATTGTCTTGGAAACCATATAAGACAAAGCTGTGGTAAAAGAGTCTTCAACACATCTTTAACAACTGTATCATATGAATTGACAAGGTTCAGTGTCAAGGGGAAGCTCCATTAAAGGAATTCAAATACTTGCAACCATAAGATACAAATTAAATCCTGCTTTCAAAATGAAATACTATGCTTAAAGAAACCACATTCACAAACATGACATCATTTAGCCTCGATTTATATAAAAATAGCTAATATTCTCGTGATCTTTTCACAAAGTGCCCTTACACACTGGAGAATTATTTGACATCTCAGTTTTCGTAACAAAAGCTTACAGGCGCTGAGGGACTTTGTTTGGGAAGAGCTTTAACCATTCTAAAATGTCTCCTGAGATCCCTCTAGTGCATTTCCCAGCAGTGGTGATTGAATAAAATGCTGCCCAAAGGAAGCTAAACTGCAAGTGTTCCTTTAAAAACCAATGGAGCTGAAAATCGTTGTTGCTTACTTCACCACATGCTCTTTTACCCTTCTTCAGCTAAGCTCTGCTGCAGCCAGGTGTTTTACCTCCTACCCTCTCTGGCAAGGTCTTCAGCCTGAAATATTTCCAGTACAAAAAAGCAGGAAAGAGCACTAGCACTTCTCAGTGCTCCCTCCATAGGCACTAAGCATTTTAATCACATTAACAAAGGACATAACGTCTCGATTTCTATACCCTGCAAACATAAATCCCGTTTAAAGCTTATCCCAGGTCCCCCTGGCAAAGTATTCAATCTAAAATCAGAGAGACCACTCATATTAAGTAAATTCAAACCTACATGGAGAACTGGAGATTCAAACCTATGCCTTTACCTTAACATCCACGAGGAAGCTTTTGTGTATCCAAACATTGTTCCCTATGAGAAATGCAGTAAGAGGAAGGGCCCAAAGGTTTTTATTGCTTCCCTATTTCCTGTATTTTTGTATTATTTTACTATCAGTGACAATAAAATGCCATTTATTTTGAGATACAGCTAGGTAGGTATATATATATATGCATATATATATATATATATACACACACACACACAAAGGCACTTACAAATTCTTATGCAGTGCCCACAATCGTCTTCAACCACCCCCACTCAAAATGCTGATTTTCTGAGCAATTTCTCTGGATTCTTCACAGTAAGAGAGCCCCAGGTATTTATTACCATTACCTTCATCTTACTTCCTAACAAAAAGGACTTTGAAAATACAATAAATTATTGCTACATGAGTCAGGTATTGGGATCAAAGTCCAAATTAATTAGATTCGGTTCCATTCTGTAAATCCACAGGTGTGTATATATATATAAGTTTTCAGAAGTCCATTTTGGCTTCAAGGCTCCTTTGCTATAAAGTACTTTTAAAACTTCACATTGTCTTTGACTAGCAGAAATGATTTAAAATAAAAGTTCTGCTTTTGACAACCTCCAGGACTTCTCAGAAAATCAACCATACAGAAGCAGATTGAAAGAGACCAGATGTAGTCTTTCCATTTCTATCAATCCATAAGCTAAAGTGACTATTAAGCATTTCGACTGCAGAGCAACAAAATGGTTTTGAGACACGAAGATTTACTCAAACAGGAGGTATATAGACTGTATATATACGCTGCTCCAATATAGCCAGAAATACCTTCCCTGGTTTCAGAGCTGTCATTAAAATAAAAGGTTAATCACCACTTAAAAAACTGCAACTATAGAATCAAGGTCAAACACTCACAATTCTTTTATTTAAAAGAGATCGTGCACAGAGCAACCAGAAAGAAAGAGTTTCTTTCATGGTAAGAAATCCTTCATACAGAGATCTGTGTTTTAGGGGTGTTCTTCCAGATGCCAGATAAATCCTGAGGAATCAGGCAGAGCTGGTTTTCCATTCACCAAAGCCTCGACTCCTCATGGCAAACACCATGAAGGAGCTTTGGAAAATTTTCATGTAAACCTCAGGCAGCTTGGTGGTGTGGGGCAAAATTCAAGAGTGACAATGTACAGAGTCAGCAACTCTTGCTGCCCCTTTTCCTGACAATACTTCAAGATGCAGGCTACGACCTAGGTCCAAGTTATGGGAATTGTCTCTCAGAGGAAACCTAGAAATTTTCAGAGAATTTACCACCGTTCTGTTTTCCCTCCTCCTTCATCTCAGTGTCTCCAAACACTGTCTTTAGTGCTTCTGACTGAAGCAGAAGCTTCATCTGTGGTGATAAAGCGTCCACTAGATCTACTTCCCCTTGAAATCAGGAACAAAAAAGGCCAATCTGGACCTTCCTCCTGGCTCCACAAGTTAGTGGTAACAATCATTAATGGCATTAAAACCATTTAGCCCGGCTGTAGGGAGCCAAAGCAAAAGAAAGCGACAGATCTCAGAAACTCACACTTAATAGGAGGTGACGAGGTAGCAGAACCTTTAAAAGACTCACCATCATCCTCCAGAGACCACTGGCCTACTTTTCACAAATCTACAAATATTCCTGGTGACCTAGCCACTGTCAGGAGCAGGGAAAGGGCTGACTTGTTAGTCCCCAGGGAACGTGACATTACCTACATGAACACACAGCTAGAAAAGAGCAGACCTGCAACAAGGCCCTCCCTGTGCCCAAATCACAAACTGTCCAAGAGCACGTTTCATTAATCAATCACAAATAATCTCTAACTAAAGACTGATACTCACCGGAAAGTTTTCACAAGGTTTTTTATCTCTGTGTAAACATCACCTGGAGCAATCTGAAGAGGGCCCAGAACCGCAGGTAATCTAGGAGGAAAAAGACCCTGGTCAATACACATTTTCCTCTCTTTCTCATTTCTTCTCAAGTAGGACTACCACCGAAGCTCATGGAAGTTAAGAAGAGGTTGACTTTTGTGCAGCTGATCAGGCCTGTAGTTTACATTTCAGATTCCTGTCAGTGCTGTTTGGGCATTACCTTCACTTTACAACAGCTTGTTTTTAAAAATAAGAAGTCCTAGTTTAGCATGAACAAGGAGAAGAAATTAAATACAGTTTTACATGCATGCTCTATTAACTTCACATTTCAGTTCTGACAAGACATTCTTACCAAAAAATCAAGGATTAGAATTCCAGGCCTTGTAAATGTTTCAAATATTTATATTTACTTGGCTCAAAAATAATACCACAAAGGGAAACTACATGTCTACATGATGTTTGCACAGAGAATGTATCTGCTAACCTCAGACTCACACAGATGCAAGAGAAATAACCTTCCACTGTAAGCCCGATAGTTGGAATCAAGATGGCAGTAGAGCAAACAGAAAATTTCCAACGAAAAACAGATTGCCTCCCTACTTGGCAGTGTGTAAAACCTGATACAGCACACACCAAACCACACATACTGTTTAACCAGTTGTCACTATCCCCAAATGCTGGAAATAACATGCATTGCTTTTCATATTCAGGATTAAACTTTTGTCTCTATTTACTTCTTTAACAGTTGATATCCTTTTGCATTTGAATACCCAGTTATTTACATTTACATGCATATCTGCGCATGGTGTATCAGTATTGCTGGAAGAATCAGGATTTCTGTTCTCCTTTACGTCACTGAGTGTTTTATAAACACTGAGCACAGGACTCTTACAATGCTGAGCATATTCATATTCCCACTGACTTCATCTGAACACATCAAAAAGTCATTGCTTTATCACCATGAAAATTCTCTCTCCGACTTGAGTGTGACAGAATTACCGCATCGCCTCATAAAATTTAAAAAGACCAACTAAAGAAGAGGGTAGTAAAGAATAAAACCTTCAAAGAAACTATGAAAAAAACCATTCTGTCTTTCTTATCCTCTATTCATGAAGTTCCTGCAAAATCTAGTTTGGTAGATTTGGTAGAACTACAACCATTGAAAAGCAAAATACCCCTAACACAACCACCACCGTCACGGCCTTCACTCATTTATCTGCGTTGCCTTGACAACAGCAGACTGTGCAAACTGACATCTGCAACTGTACTGCAGACGACTGTCCCAGAAATAAATAAGCTATTTAGGGCAATAATGGGTCTAAGTTATGACTATGGCCAACTAGAAAAAGCCTGAACATTCTCGCACAGTGAATTTGTTCCTTAAAATGATGATGAATAAGCACCAACCTCAGCTTGATATTTGCCAAACTAAGGGGTACTTACACTTTTCTCAGTTTTTCAAGGACGATTCGTTTTCTAATCTGCATTTGTGCGTTTGAGTCAACAAGTGGGAAGGTGAGATCTTCCTGTTGATCATCCTGTATTAGACAAACAAACTTTAACAGACACACTAGTACTTAATTGAAGTCAATGCATCAAAATAGTCATAGCTTATCAATAAATGTTTAAAGAAACATAAGTTTTAAGAAAACTCTTATCTCTCAATATATAAAAAAACCCAAACCAGTAATTTCTTAATGGACAGAAGTTTGCTTCATCTAACCCAACATACAGTATACAGCTAACCTACTTTTCCCCTTTCCTGTACTAAATACTTTAATTTAACCAATAGTAAATTCCTTCAAAACTCAAGTCAGAGTAAATGGACTTTGTTTTACCAGCAGCAGCATTATGAAGATTATACCTCTGATGCTAATATCCCACTTGAACTTTAAAAGCAAAAGCAATTTCACATGCCAGTACAAACTGTACAACCTACCTAGCCTGGTCTGTTTTGACAGTAGTGACAAGAAGACCCAGCTGCTGTCAGCTGGTTTGTCTGACCTGGAAGGCATAAAACCTCAGACCACTCCATTTCTTGTGGTCTACAAATCCTTCCGAGGTCTTTTTCCAAACTCTCTAGACTGCAGCAACACATCCAAACAAATCAGCAGGTTATCAACACAGAAAATTTTAACAGTAAGTAATGGCAGCGATTTAGTCGTACTCAAGGGAAGAAAGAAATGCAATCTCAAGTATATCCTGTTATGAATAAAAGGCAAAAAATCATTAAATAAAAATTTTAATTAATTAATCAATCAAAGGGGAGGGAAAAAACCCCAAAAATATTCCCTCCAAAGTCTATTCTGTCTTATGACAGATTGTTTCATCTAAGTAAAACTTCCTTACCTTCATGCTTCACAAACTGAAAGCCAGCTATCAGAATTAAATGTGTCCCTAACAGTCACACAAACTCATTCTTACCAATCTAAAATACAATTCCTCAACCTTATGGGATTGTTGTGAATCTATCCAACCTTCCTTATACTATTTCACATTAATAGCTTGATGTTTCCATGGCCATATCCACTCACGATGAAAGAAACAAAGAGCTGGTACCAATTCTCTGAAGGCAACTTACACAGCCTCAACACTTACTTTGTCTTTGCTTGGATGTTCCTCTGCTTGCGCATGTGTCGCTGCCTCTTCAGCCAAGACACACTTTCCTTTATAGAACTCCTTTACTCGGAGCTCTAGGAACTCCGTCTCTTCTTTTAGCTGTTCATAACTAGGCACAGGCTTAACTATTCCACCTGGGCTCATGAAAGGTAAGGAACAGTTCAAGCTGTTTGCAGACTCCCTTACGGCAACAGCGTTAAGATCATCAGGTGCATCTAAGTCATCCTCATCAAGTTCCTCACTCTCTTGGTTGGCAGATGGTACGCATTCTGATGAGCATAAAGAAGTGTAATTTGGGCCATAGAGGAATTTTAAAGTTTCCTCAGTTCTCCATTCCGTAAGTGTTTGCTTAAGCCCTTCCAGTAAACTGCCTTTGGAGTTCACTGGATCCCTCAATGCAGTTTGTTTATGTTCTTTCGAGTTCGCTAGTGTTCTTTTAAGATGTTCTGCCCCTCTTTTGCTCACGCCTAGAAAAACTATCTGTGAACCACTACAGGTGCTTTCATAGTTTTCTGAAGCACTTGATTCTTCTACAGCAGTATTTTTTGAAGGCGCTGCAGTCGTTTTATTATCAACAGAGCAAGCATCCATTTCTTCCTGAGCATCTAATTTACAATTAGACAGTTGTTCAGTGGCTTCTACCACATCCGAGACTTCAGCTTTAGGGCTGGAATCGACTTTCTGAGCATGCTTCTTTTTGAGGATGCTCTTTCTGTGCAATTGCTGTTCAAAACTCGAACCTGACTGACCTCCTGGGAGGACAGAAGAGACAAATTCTTGTTCATTATCACTACTGCTGTCACTGGCTGTGTCACGAGAACCAGATTCATGCGGATCTGAAGATATCCTAGGATTTTCAATGTCAGAAGCTTTAATGACTTCATCACGTAGTTTCACCTCTTCTCCAGACTGTCCACTGTAACAGAAAACACAAGCTATCAGTGAAATAAGAAACAGGGGATATCTGTAATAGCTTCTCATTCTTGTAGAACAAAGAGAAATAAACTCAAAAAGCTGTAATGTTCTGCAATCAAGATGACAAGCACAGACACCATCCAGAGAAGGGAATTCTCAGTTGCTTACTGGCAGTTAGAAAAGTACAGCAAACACGATACAGTTAAAGACAACAGAATAATGTCAGACTTAGCATGAAGAACAGTGCATTTTTAAAATGAAGATAGGCATCTTAACATATAGATAAATATGATACCCTAAAACCAGGAGGACAGCAGAGCTGGTTTTAGCATATATCAGTTTGCCACCTAATGGCCATGTGTTGCAAAAGAAAATAAACAAGTCACAATTCACAACAAGGTACAGGGAGATGACAGGATAGCATGATTTCATTTCAGCTGACATAGGTGTTTTAGATTAAGAAGTACAGAAGCTTTCATCACATATAATTGGCACCATTTTCCTTATACAGCATAGATGATATAAAATATGCCAAGCACAAACAGTGTATTTGTGTCAGATTTCAACAGGCTCAATTAAGACGTACAGGCCAAGAGCAGCTGTACACTAAATCACACAGATCAAATATGCCATTTTAGAATCACAAAGGAGAAAACTAAACAAGACAAATAATCCTTTGTGTAGGTTCTAATACGGTCTGTAACACAGGAAATGAGATTCCCCTTTCACCTGATATGCTGCTAGTATTTCTAACTGTAAGTGCATATAACCAAAAAAATACTGTTCAGTGTACCTCTGTCCCTCCTTCAGCAGCTCTATGTCTGGTGGTCTGCAAAAAGAAGATACAGAATTAACATTTTCCTGCTAAACTGATGGTCGTGAAATACACATTAATACATGAAATACACAGCTGAGGTTAGAAGGGACGTCTGAGGATCCTCTAGACCAACACCCTCTGTTCAAAGCAGGGTTAGTGAGAGCAGGTTTATACAGAGGATGACCCATGTACCTGCAGCACGATGCTGTTACGTGGAACAAGACTCAACAGAATCAGTAAGTCACGCAAATGTCAGTCAGAAAGGACCCCTGGAGGTCTCCAGTCTGACCTGCTTGTATTGTAATTGTCACCAGCACTAGATTAGGTCAGTTCATGAAGTTTAAATCTTGAAAACTTCCAAAGATGGATATTTCAAACCATTGCTGACTATTCTGTTTCATTCCACCATGACCTCAGTGTAATTTCTTTTCTCCCCCAATGCCCAACTGAACCATCCATTTTTTGTGGCCATCACTCCTTGTTAAGTTTTCTGCCACCAACCAAGAATAGCATGGCTCTGTAATCTTTGTAACTTCTTTTACAAGCAGTTGTAGACTGCTTTGAGATCACCCTTTGGCCTCCTCTTCAACAAAGTAAACATGCCAAGATCCTCACAGGTCACAAAGTTCCTGTAGTGTAAACAATCCTGGGCTGCTTATAGGAAAATGCTGCAAATTAATGCAAAAAATATGAATATTTGGTATGTTTTTACTTACTTAAAATTTTACTCTGTTAAAAATTAGGCTGTCAAGTTACACTGCTTTAAGAAAATGAAGTTCAAAGGTTTCCAGATCATCTAAGAACCGTAACTAAACCAATTCTGACTGGTTTCTTTCCAAAGTTCTACTTGCAGTTAATCTGCTTCAATTCAGTTACGCGGCAGCACCACAATGCTGGTTTATTTTATCCAAATGTTTATTTTATCCAAAAAATGTTTATTTTATCCAACACTAAACGTTGAAATCCTCATCCACCTGTTCCATGAACGAAAGAAAAACTTTTAAGCGTGCACTGACTGCAAGTCAATGCATTAACACCTCTCGGACAGTATATGAAAAACCCCACACTTAAAAAGGTGAAAGCTGCGTCACTCATACGAATGAATTGAGTTTGGAAACAAAAAAAGGTGATAACACACAATGATTTAAATTATTAACTCCAAATAACGCTTCTTCAGAGTTTTAAGGCTGTAGTCTTTTCTGTCAAAAGTATTTCCAGTATCAGCAAAACCACTAAATAGAGAATTAGTTCTATTTAGCTCAACCCAGGACACAGCTGTGTAAACCTTTATCAGAGTGTGCACATGTATGTGGTTATGCCAACAGACATACCTAGCCAGGAACTTTCCTGGGGTTTTGGTTGGTTGGTTTGTTTTTGAAAATACCACGTCCCCACCACCACACATCAGTAATTAACTATGTCAGGCATATTGGAACTATATGCTTCTGATGTTAAGATTACAGGGAGATTTTAGAAATACTTTCTTTAAAGACAGCAAAACAAGAGCACAAAAATAGGGGTAAGCTGACTTAAACATTTTATGAGGAGACTGGTTTAACTTACCAGAATTCCTCAGATCAGGCTGCTCTAAACCTCTTCTCTCATTGATCAGATATTTCATATGACTGATCTAAACTGTGAAACCAAGCTCACACACGTAATTTCAACTAGTTTCTTCTGTTGAAAACCAGGAGACTATGAAAAGTAGTGTCTTGGAGAGCGAAAGCTGAAAAAATTCAGCTGAACAGTCTGTAGGTAAGTATTTGTTGTTAAACAGTGACACCCATTGGCTCAATTTATTATTTACAAGCCTGTTTCCTGAGCTAGGAACATGGACTGTTCAAAACGTGTACTGCAGTAACAGCAGGAAACGGGCAATCTGAAATTAAGTGTTTTACCCTGGATAAATAACTTCTTCATGTTATCACCCGCTTTCAGGTGCAAGCATTCACAGTCTCACCTTAAGACCAATGCCACATGCTGTGCTAATATCAGAAAACCTCCTTTAACAGGATAAGGTGACTTAATCCCGTACGTTATATGGTTTGTAAAAGTCCAATCCTATTAAGTACATTTTAAAGTTAATAAGAATTGACTATTATTTATGACTAGCCTGCCCTCTAACTAACGTGGTCATGTCTACTAAGTAGTCATGAGTAGTACCGAGTCGTGTCAATTATTGTGACCAACATGACAACAACACTTTTAAAAAGAACACCATGCTAAGCTAACATGTTAACATCAATTCCCTCTGCTTCAGCCTAATAATTCTGATGCATTGCAGCTAATTAATTAGCATTACAGCTTGGATAGAGAAAATAATATTCTCAAAAGGAGCAATGAATGTATAATGTTATACTTACTTTTCCTCTTCTCGCATCCATACTGGACTTTTAGAAATCTGAGCTTCAAAATATTTAGATGCTCTGTAGCAAAAGTTGCTGCAAAAGCACTGGAAATGAGAGAGAAAGCAAGAAAATACGGCTATGGACAACGTCAATACTCATAAAAAGGTACAAAAGTAATGGTTTGAGTACCAAGCAAAAAAATCCCACTTTGTAGAGTCTTGCTTAGCAGTTTGAAAAAGCAATTCCCAGAATTTTGTGTGCCCCAGAGTTGTAACCAGAGGAAGGGAATGTACACTAGCGACACTGAAGAAATTTGCTCTGGAACTAGGAATATTTATCCTACAATTTGGCATATAAGCACCTGTAGGTGACTGCGTATCCTGCGAGCAGGCAAATAAGACTTTTACTCAACCGCACACATGAATATACTTAAAGAAAGAAACAGACTTTGTGAAGAGACAGGTTTTATGTTGAAAAGTCTTCAAAAAAGAACCCTAAATGTAGTCACACTGAGGAATGCATTAAAATGTAACCTGCATTAGACTACTGCAAACTGCAGTGAATGAAACGGACGTGCACACTGACCCTACTAAAGCGCACGGACCATACTGGGCAAAATAGGGAACACTTGTTCAGAAATGTCTGTAACAGAGCAGCTGTACCACAACTATCCAAGTAAAACCTTCCTTTTTATGTTTACATCTAGAGAAGAAAACAAGTGGGTTTTCATCTCTCCAAAGAGAGCATCTCTTGATGCTGAAACTGAAATGTATGAAAAGATAAATTCATATTCTAACAGTTCATGAAAATTATTTTCATAAGAACCAAACATATTGGTTCATCAACATGAAGCCACTGTATGAATGGTGTTATCGAATGCAATTCTTAGGTTGAGACAAATTAAATACATTTTAGAAATAAACTTGGTACCATACCTTTCTTTCAGTGATATCATAAACTCTGTTTGTTTTTGTTGAAATTCTGTACTTCTGTTTTGGCACCTGAAACAACATGCTTTCATTAGCAAGACTGTTACCTCCATCACGATTTTACAGAAAATTTCATTCTTAATTCACATATTTTAATATGGGCAATATATTCTGTTTTAACTGAATTGCATACTACAATCACCTTTTCTCTTAATTCTTTTGATATTGTACCTCTTCAGATATAAGAACATAAATTTATCTTTAATCATTTACATCTCCCTATCAGTAGAAGACAATTTCAGGTCTACAAGAAAGACAATGCTGAACATAAAACAATGGAGCTGGCATGGTAGAAAATGCTCGTGTGTAAGTGTTGGGCAATTACAGACAGGGTCTTCTTTAATCCATCCCTATTTACATGCATGCAAGACTCTACTGTCAGAGACCCCCAGCACTATCCAGAGAGGATCTTACAGAAATGGTAATACAGTTTCCAAGTGAAGTTCTGTGGGTACATACGAAGTCCAAAACAGTAAAATTGTTTGTACTTGAGTAGATTTTTTTTCTGTCAGATAATCAGGTGTACCACAACTTGTAATACATCATAGGTTATCTCACTGAACTCTGAGTTCTGCATAAGCTCTGGCACACCATGCCTAAATAAGTGTGACTATGATTTTGAGACAGGTAATGTACATTTTCAGAGCAGATGGATATGCATTCACATAGCAGTATCCCTGCATTGCATTATTTTTTCACTTCAATCCTTCTCACAGACATGAGTGGTTACACTGAAGAAGGAACAAGATTAGAAAGGTTCTGCATGCAGAAAGGCAGGCCACGAAGCCATACCTCATTCATCTTTATTACTGTCAAAGTCGATGCTAACTGATGCTGTCATACAGTAATGGTTGTCAGCTGATCAAATTTTATCTTTTACTTCAGAACAATTATATTAAAATGGAATGATAGGATGCCTGGCCCATTACTTGACAGTATTTTAATCTATGCTTAGTATTGTAAGCTTAAAATTAAAGAGAAAATGCAGAGATTAACAATCGCGAAGAGATTCTTACAATAACAGCACTAACAAAAAGCAACTTACATTTTCCAGTTTGTTATGACATAGAGGATAACCGCACAGTTTGATGATAGCCCGTTCATCAACAATGTCTTTATAGTGAGATGGAGTAATGGATTTTCCCTAAAATGACAAGAAAACAGTTCAACAACAGATAACAGAAAACCTGTCATTTTTCATACTCAAACCATCTCATAAACAAATAAGTAATTAAAATTTTATAGCAGTAATTTACTAAGTTTAATAAATAACATTTAGAACCTACGCAGTTAAAGTGGCAAAAGGGTAAATAGGGAAAGAAAAAAGACACGGGCACTTCTTTTTACATATAGATAAGCCTCATAATTTTGCCTCTATTTTCACGATTTTCCTCTATTTCCATGCTTTCTACACCTATTTAACAGGCTACTTACAGCCTTAACAAGAGTAATCATCATACTGTTCCAGCAAAACCATGCTGCCAGATAAACTGCGGGGCATTACAGCGACTCTGTTTAAAATTTCCAGATGTGATGTGGACCTAAAATTTATACTTCACCTATCAGTCCAGAATCACAGAGGCATAAACAGAGGCTGCGGTAAAACAGTGACTGTTCATAAATGTACACAGTTCTGCAACACTAGGCCATGTTTTCACTGCAGAGCCCCTGAAAATACAGCAATCACCACCAGAGCTGACGAGAGAGGGAATGTATTGTTTACTTTCCACTGCAGCAAATTGTTCCAAGGACTTTAAAAAATGAAGTTTGAACACCAAGACACAAAACAGCACAAAAACTTGCAACACTCACAGAATTCAGAAGGAACTCTTCAGTGATGTTCTCCTCCAGGAGTTGCTCTACAATATGCAAAGCTTTTTTCTCACATTCAATCTTCTTTCTCATAGCAGCCTCCAGAACTGCTTTCCTGTAACAGAACAGACACTGAATGACGCAAAGGGTGGATTTCCACAAACAATTCTCCAACAGTGTATCTTTTTTCCCCAAAATACTGTAGCTTACATTCTTCTGCATCACGCCGTGTTGTACAAACAAAGCAACAAGTAACTGGATTAGTAGTTCTGTGACAACCACCAAGGAGTTTCCAACCCTGGTTTGCTTTATTTCCACTCTGGTCAGGAAAAGTATTGACTCTTCTCACGTTACAATACCTCCATACAAGGTTACCCAGCATTTCTTGAAAGAGAAGGAAACTCAGAACTGGCTGAACAAAGTGTCCAGGACAAATAATTTATGGTGTGTTGCCAGGAGAATGGGAGCTGGATGAGATATGAAGAGTGGGAAGAAGAAAGGTCTGGGACAAGACTGAGTGTGAGGGTACAAAGTAAAGGAAGGAATAAATCAAACAAACCCCACTACAGTAGATTTCCTGAGGGCTCCTGAGTCTTGTCACTATTCTATTATCAGCAGATACCCAGAGAGCAACTACCTCGCTGTCTCCCATCTCCCTTTGGCAGCACTTCCCACAGAGGTTGTCAAGGTACAGTCATTCTGATGTCTTAAAGGATAGAGGTCTACGCTATTCACCTAGAAGTCTAGGTCTACTACAGAGTCAAATGAGTATTCAGGTATTGTCCATGGCAGAAAGTGGGTTTTTTCCTTTTTAAAGTGAGTAATGAAAAAAGGCAGGTATGCAAAGAAGTTAAGACGGCAAAAAGCAAGCACTACTGACTAAGGTAATGCAATGTTGATGTTAGATTCCTATGCTTTTAGCATGTTATACAGTGAACATATGTGCATGCTGTTAAAAGTTACATAGCATCACTCCAAACAAGCTTGCATGGTGTTGATGCTGGCGATCTCCTCAAGTGTCAGTGTACCCAGAGAAAGCAAAAAAACCACGCAATGCAGAGAATGCGATTTAAAAGTGAGGCAAAACAACATGAATGCCACACAATGTTAGTTAGAAATTGTACCTCTGAGCAGCGTCTTCATTCTTCAGAGCAGCCGAATGCTTATTTCCTAGCAATCAAACACACGGATATAAAAATATAGACATTAGTGTACTTTTGTCCTTTAACAGTGGAAAACATTGCAACCTGAAAAATATTAAAACCTCTGAACTGTAAGCATAATAAAGAGAATTGCTTAGAAACTTGTTTTTGGTGGCTGAGAGTGACTGCAGTAAGCTAGTTACCATTCAGCAACGAGCGAGACACGCTTTTTGTACGTGAGGACAGACAGGCCTGACTTTACACTCTCATTCCTCATGTTCTGTACAGTCAAAAAGCTAAAGGAAAAAGAATTCTGACAACAATTTTGTGCCAACCACACTCCTCCTGGTGCTCCACTGGCTCCCCAGCCCTGCTTTACCCCTGCACCCCACTGGTGTCCTTTGCAATCCCAACCACTGGATTCCGCTCCGGGCGGGAATCGGCAACACGGCCTCGACGCCGGCAGCTTCCCCACAGCGCCCCTTTTGCCGCCCTCCCTGCCTGCCGGCCGCCTCCGCGACCACCCTAGGGGTCTGCCCGCCCTGACCCGGTTACCGACACAGAGAACTCGGGCAGCTGCTCCCTTTAAGACAAGGGCTGCAGGGAGGGAAAATACAGGCTGTTATGCTTAAACATGAGGACGTAGCTTTCTGATCAGCTGCGCGATCGCTTAGAATGGGAGCCGCCGCGCCGCCT